AATATAGCACAACTGGGTACATCTTGCGGATGAAGCTTGAATTTGGATCTTCAACTGGAATTGCAATGCTTCATACCACAATTCCGCCAACCTCCATTTGTATATGATCGTGAATGCGTAATTCCATCCATCCTCCAACATGTTATTTGTCTATAATAAATAGAAAACCACAAACACTAGACAAACAACATTAGTCGTAAATTGTTTGTTAAATATCATCAAAACAAGAAGGCTAACAATCTCCCTCTTTTTGATGATGACAAATAATTTACAAAAGATATATATATATATATATGCATGAAAGAAATGAATATATAAATTAGAATATATCATGCATATAAATAAGAAAGGCTATACTCAAAATATTTCTCCCCATTTGACAACATCAAAAAGGAGACAAAAGGATGAAGAGAGCGAAAGCTGCCCCTACATATAAGCATGGGTGAGTATAAAACAAATATAGGGATTGCTTCCCCTATCAAAATGCCATATAGAATATATGACATGAAGTGCTAAGGCAATCATATGTGAGCAAGCATAGATGAATATGCTAAATATCACTCACATACTATAAAATAATGAGAACACATATGGATGTACCATCGAAATAATGTGTCTCAAAACATAAACATAAAAAACATGTATAAAAATAGATTTATGAAATCAAAAGAAAAGGAATATGAAAATTATGCAAAAAGTTTTCAAATGAAAACAAATTAATTAATAAAATCATAAATCAAGATTTAAGCCCAAAAATGATGTTTGATCAATAAAGGAAATTTTCTTTGTAAAACTTGATCAAACCATATAAAGAATACATTAGAAAGCATATTTAAAATTTGAATCATCTATTTGTGCTTATATAATGAATTCAAAAGAACAACTCAAAGCAAAATTTTCATAGTTCAAAAGTAACATACAAGAATCATGAACTATGGAAAAAACCATCTTTAAAAGTATAAAACCAAATCATTATTGATTTTCACAAATGAGAGAGGCAACCATATCAAGCTCTTGAGCTTGTTTCAACCCATATAAATATTTTTAGCACCCGGTAAACAAGGTTAGGGAATAAACACCCAATAAATCCGGGGGGTTATATAAATACAAACCTCTTATCAAAAGCGAAACTAATAATCATGAAAACAAAGGAATTGATTAAAGAAAAATTGTTTTCATATTAAAAGTTTTCAAAGCATATTTTACAAAACCAAGAAAAAGAAAAATAAAAACACTAAAAATTCTTCGTTTAAAAATCATTTTGGCACCCAAGCATTCTTGGTGCCGGATGTTTAGGGACATGAATCCTATCAATAAAGCACAAAGCCCTAGGGTTATGAACCCTTTTGGGCGCATTTAGTGCACGAATACGGTCAAAACAAAAATTATGTAAATGACCTTTCCGATTGCAATAAGTGCAATAAAAGAGGCACATTTGATTTTGTTGACCAAGTGGCGGTGCACGGGAATCAATTGCAAACATTGATGGTCTTTTAAATTCTTTTTGCAAATAAGAAACATTATCAAACAAAGGTGGTCTTTTTGGAACAGTTTACAAAATAGGAGCTTTTTGCATAGCAAAACAAAATTTAGCAAGATATCCAAATCTACCACACACATCACATTTAAAAATACGTGGTCTACTAGAAACATTTGGCAAACTAGAATTCTTTTTCAAATCAAAGCAAAACTTTGCCAAATGGCCAAAACGACCACAATAATCATATTTAAACACATGAGCATGCTTATGATGAACATGATGAGTATGTGCATGTGTATGTGATGAAGAAGCCTTATGAGATACACAAGAAGCATTGATATTAGCATTTTTAGATTTTTGTGCATCATAGCAAAATTTAGCTAGATGACCTTTTCGGTCACAAAAGGAACATTTATAAATTTTGCTATACAAGTGTGCATAGTGTGTATATGATTTTGTACCATTAAATTTAGCACACTTGTCCATAAGTTTCTATGGTTATCAATGCATGTTTTCAAAGTTGAATCTAAAATAAAATGCATTTATTCACAAGATTCAAATCTTCATTATTAGGCACATATGTATAGCAAAATCATATACACACTATGCACACTATATATAGCAAAATCACATAGAGTGGGAGGATGATTAGGGTCTTATGCTAATCTAGTCTGATTTTATGCCAATTAAAACTAATTAATAAATTATTCTTGTAAGATAGATATACAATATGTTATGAGCAAGAATATGCAATATGAACAAAGAAAAATATCCTAGCAATGAGATATACTATGAGATATATGCGATGATATACAAATAATACAAGGGTAAATAATCTAAACTAGATAGTGGGCAATATAAGCAACAAGCAGTATATAAAGGCGATATAAGATATGAACATAAAAATAAGTGTGACAATGCAATCACAAACAAACGATATGTTCACGGACTTCGGTCCCCACGACCTACGTCTCTACTCCTCACCTCGAGGAGATCTCCACTATCACAACCAGGTTTTCTACGCTCACCCGAATAACGTCTACACCTCACAATATCGATTTTCAACGCTCACCGATCAACGTTCACAATCTCACAATAAGCATAATACAACAAATGATTGTTCTCTAATATGGATGAGAACACAATATAAGCTCACACTCAATGATACACTCCCCACAATCCAATTTGTACTATTTATGAAATACTATAAGCTCAATGGTTGTGTGTGTAAGCAATAAAAAAATTAATTATAAACTCAATGTAAAACCCTAGCTTGATAAAAATAATAAACAACAAATAATTAATACAAAGCTAGTATTGAGTTTAGAAATTCTTCTTTGAAAAACAAGATGGAGAGATGGATTAAAATGGAGCTCAAACAATGTAGATGATCTCCTCCACTTGTGAAACAATCTTCACAAACCAAACAAACTTTAAACCAAACTTGAACCCTTGTTAAAACTCTTTTAAACTTGTTTTAAAACATTCCATTTTTATTTTTTGGTAGTGGGGGGGTTTGAGGGTTTATATAGGAAGAGAAAACAACAGCCAAAACCCTAAGCAAATCAACAAAATCTCCTAAAAACTAAGAAACAGATTCTGTACAAAACTAGCTGTTACAGTACCCATCAGTCGACTGACGGGAAGCATCAGTCAACTGATGAGCTGATCATTGTATATGATTTCCAGCTTATCAGTCGACTGATGATCATTTCAGTCGATTAAAACAGAACAGAGACTAATTGAAGATTCTAGGCACTTTCTTCAGTCGACACATCAGCCGGCTGACTTCATTAGTTGACTGATCAGTCAACTGATAACTGGTTTTCAAAAAGCTCTTCCCATTTGTAAAATATTATCATTTTACAAAATAGTCCAAACATGTAAATGTAAGATACTTGTTTTTGACATTTGACATAAACCACGTTTTGAACCTTTGTAAAATAATTTTATAGACTTAATAAAAAGTATAAACTATAGTTGTTAAGTCAATAAACCATACAAACCAAACACACAATATTTTTCCAAATATAATAGAATATAAAACATATGAATATGTATATGAATGTATATTTATTTCATGTCTATATAGCTAAACCAAAACATATAACTATATATATATATATAAAAAACCAAAGCGTGTATGTGTGTATATGATTGAGCTTAAAGTACTAACACACATAATATAAAACATAAACTAATTATACCCAAGCTTGATGAATTTCCAGAATATAGCACAACTGGGAACATCTTGCGGATGAAGCTTGAACTTGGATCTTCAACTGGAATTGTAATGCTTCATACCATAATTCCCCCAACCTCCATTTGGATATGATCGTGAAGACGCAATTCCATCCATCCTCCAATATGTTGTTTATCTACAATAAATTAAAAATCATAAACACTAGACAAACAACATTAGTTGTAAATTGTTTGTTAAACATCATCAAAATAAGAAGGCCAACAGAAAAGACTATAATTAAAGCGGATGATCTTTGGAGTCTTTTGGTTGAGATTGGGGTCGACGACGAACACATTGATGATACATATATATTCTTACTTAATTCTCCAGAGAATCCAAGGGCAGTACTTGGATGCCCAAGGGAGAGGCAGAAGCAAATACTCGTGAGGATGATGCAAAGCGCATCTATGCCACCCCCGCTTCATTATTAGCTTCCTACCTACTCATCTTTAATATTTTGGTTTTCCACTTTTGATAGATGCTTTTGGGTATTTGGTGGCAATTATGGCTTCTTGTCACATTTTTGTTATTGTATGACAATTACAAATTTGTTGCCGAATTATGGATGCTTATGGTAAACTTGAAATATTAGATGGCTATTGTAACTTCTTGTCACTTTTTGGTTATTGTATGATGATTACAAACTTGTTGCCGATTTATGGATGCTTATGGCAAACTTGGAAAATTGGTTGGAGAATTGTTGTTTATGTTTTGATAAGATATATATGTGTTTTGTCAATTTGAGTTGTGTGTATTGATTTGATAAGATTATGTGTTATTAGTATAAGATCATTTGTGTAAATTTACATATATTTCCTTCCATTCTCTTCCCTCCATTATTACTCCCAAACAAGCTATATTAATTTTCACTTCATTCATCTTACTGAACTCCCAAACAACATATTACAATTTCCTTTCGTTCCCCTTGCCTTCCCTCTGAGCGCTTGTTTGGATTTGTAGGGGGTGAAGGGAAGTTAAGGGAAACTGAGTGAAGGGAAGGAAAGGGAAGGGAAGGGAATTCCCTTCCCCTTGGTTACACCCCAATTTGGGGGGTAACAATTTTTATACTATTAGGGGGTGAACCAAAGAGAACTAGGGTGAATTAACTTTACCTCCTAAGTGTTCCCAAACAAGATGAATGGAGGTGAATGGTTCCCCTAACTTCCCTTCACTCTCATTCCCCTCAATCCAAACAACCCTCAATGAACTCCCAAACATAGCATAACAATCGTCCGAAGGCAAGGGGTTTTCTGATATTTAGCTTTTATTTATCTCTCCCTGCATTTGAATTGCTAGGGTTAGGGTTTTTAGGGTTTCTCTTCATCAATAATAGGAACAGAGAGGTGAAAGCGAAGTAATTGAAATACAATCGGTCAGATTCTCTATACCATTCATATTTTGTAAATTCTGTAAAATTCCCACAAATTATTGTATATTTCTACAAGTTCTGGTGATCAATTTCATGATAGGTAGCTCTTAGATCATCATCGCCTTCGCATTGAGTTGATGATTGAATACATAGATTTTGAGGTTGGCCCAAGATTTGAGCAGCAATTGCTTATGGAAAAAGAGGAATCTTGAGGTCGGAATGTATCATGATTGAGAAGAAGGAAACTTTGAGGGGTTATTTGTATGATTTAGCACTGAGATGACGGGTGCCGTTCTTAGCAGGAGCCAATCAGCTCGTCTTAGAACTCAGACCAGTAGTAGCCCTAGGTCTTCGTCGTTAAGAGGAAGAGGTGTGCTCCTGGATCTTTCTCGACTACTCTCCCTGTAATCATAGTCTTGATAAGCCTCGTTCTAGTGCTCGGATCTTTTTCTTATACATACTATGTTTGATATTTTAGCCATGGGAATTTGGCTGCCGAGTTTATCGACTGGAATGAGAAATGTGATGTCTTTGAGGGATGCTGGGTGAAAGATGAGAGTTACCCTCTTTATAATAGCTCTCAGTGCCCCTTCGTCGAGAGGGGTTTTAACTGTTTGGCCAATGGGAGGAAGGATACCGAGTATCAGAAATGGAGATGGAAGCCTAAGAATTGTGATGTGCCCAACTTTAATGCTATTGAGATCTTGGAAGGGTTGAGAGGGAAAAGGGTAGTTTTGGTAGGGGACTCAGATGAGTAGGACGCAATGGGAGTCTTTGATCTGTATGCTTATGACTGGTGTGAAGGATCCCAAGAGTGTTTATGAGGTTAACGGGAATAAAATTTCGAAGACTATTCTGTTTTTGGCTGTTCGGTTTGAGTCTTTTGCTCTTAGAGTGGAGTTTTTCCGATTGTTTTCCTTGTGCAGCGGCATGGGCACTGAAGCATGTCCCAGCAAGGGTTCGGTTCGTGCTCATGCTGGACAACATGGATCATGCAAATAGGAGATGGGTTGATGTTGATGTCTTAATTTTCAATTCTGGCCACTGGTGGACATGGACAAAACTAATCGATTCGTAAGTTTTAAAATTCGATTTAGTTCAATGTTTTAATCTGTGGCATTTCTAGCATGAGGTTGTGTTTTTTTTCCAACGTACTACTATTGCACAGATTTTTCACATCTTTTATGATTCTTATACTATAATTATTTCCTTTGCTGATATGGAGGCTAACATTCTTTTGAATTTTGCTAATAATGCTATTGATCTATATCTATTATAAACACAGCACAATGCTTGTTGTGCGGCTAGCTTGTATCCTTGTTAGCATGGAAAATTCATTAACTTTGTCAATGTCTAATACTGTATCTGGTGATGTGTGTGACAATTATTAGACATAATAAAACAAGCCTAAACTAGGAAATATTGGAATGATCTATTCTAAAATTTGTGTGATCCAGATCCAGTTGTGAAGGGGTTTCAGTTAAATTGAAAACCAGATAATGGTGATCTCTCTAGACAGTCTGCTGATATCTTTTCATGAGTAAACGTTTAGTTGCATGCTAGACAATCTTATGATCAAACCGTAGATAAACTAATGAAATCTAGGGTCTTTGTCATATTAGACTCCTAAACCTTTGTGAACGTACACCAGATACCCAGATCTTCAAATTTCTAAATAAGATCCCAAAGCCCATTAAGCTTTCAAGTTTACACGAGGCTAAACATAAAGTTGCAAATAAACTTGAATTATGCAATGTTATGAAGTCACAGTTTACTAACTTAATGTTTAGGAGTAACCTATTGAGCAGGCTATATCTTTTGGCTGGAGCTAGGGACTGATGTGCGTGTATGCATTGTTAAACATAGCCTGCATTTATTCATGTTAGACACCAAAGAATATACATCAATGACATATACTCCAGCATAAATACAAGCTTCCAAATATTCAAAAAGGTGGATTGATTGAAAAGCCAATATCAATGTTTTAAAAAGCTGCTACCTAGCCTGCCTAGACGTACTCCTAGGCCTAGGCGTTACCTAGGCCGCCTGCCTAGTGCCTAGCGTCTAGGCCGTACCTAGACTGCCCACTTAGTTTCAGAGTGCCTAGGGGAGTATGGGCTGTTTACGTGGATTGTACCCTCTAATCGTGATTTCCTCCGTTGCAGCCTCCACGTCCTCCGACCTCCAAACTCCTGTAGGCTCCAACTATGAACATCTCTTCTATCTTCTCCAACCTTCATCCTCAACCACCACTTAAATAAAGAAAGAAACCCTTCTAGGCGCCATCCTGACATCTAAGCTTTCTATTAGGGCATCTCCAACCATACCCTCCAAATTTGGCCCTCCAAATTGGAATATTCTAGGAATATTCCAATTTGGAAGGTGAAATTTGGAGGGTTGCTCCAACCTCCACTCTCTAAATGTTTTTCTTTTTATTTTTTTTATCAAAAAAAACATATAAATTAAATAATGTTGGATATAGTTTACGTTAATAATTTTATTGTTAATAATTTATTTGGAAAAATAAATTAAATAATGTTGGATATAGTTTACGTTAATAATTTTATTGTTAATAATTTATTTGGAAAAAAAATTATAACATTATAAAGGTGTCGATGAGAGCTTTAAAATGAACCCAATATTAATACTGCAATACAACATATTAAAAAAAAAGAAATTCTGAAATAACAGTGAAAACATACATCGATAGAACAAGAAAGCAAATATTAACCTCTAATACAACATACCATAGGTCGCAAACATAAACCTCAAATATAAAATATGATAAGTGACAATTAAAATTTTGACAGATCATTATCGTTATAACTACCGGTTCTATCCCGATCTCTCGAAGAACCACCATATTCATTTCTTCCTACAGAACCAGCTTCGCTCGCAAATTGAGAAAATCCTCCTTGATTTCCAGTGGGAAATTCATATTCGTAATTTATGCTTGTATTTTTTTATGGAGCAAGTTAAATAGATCCCCATATTCAAAATTTTATGTCTGATACTTATTTATTTAATTTAAAAATTAATAATTTTATAATAATACTAAAATAAATTAATCTTAGTTTCATTTTAAAGATCTCAACGAGCCCTTTCCAAATATATAATGATTTCAAATATTAGATTAATAATTTTTTAACTATATTTATTTGAAATTAAACATCTAATTTAAATTACTAAGAAGGATGACAAAGTGGTAATTTTTAATAAATCAAATAGTTAAAAATGGTAAAATTTTAATTAAAAAATCATGAATAGTGTTATGGAGAGACCCTCCATTTTTTCTCCCCACCCTCCAAATTTGGAGGGTCAAATTTGGAGATCTCCAAATTTGGAGAGTGGTTGGAGATGTTCCACTCTCCAAATTTGGAGATTTTGGAGATATGGAGGGTGGTTGGAGATGGTCTTACATTGGTATTTACTATCAATTATTATAATTAAAAAACAAAAAAAGAAAAATCGCTTAGGCCCTACCTAAGCTCCCTCCTAGGTGCCTAGGTGCTAGGCGTCGGGTCAAACGCCTAGGCCATCTAACACTTTTTGTAACCTTGGGCAATATAATAATGTTGCAAACATGCTAAAATCTTGTGCGATGGATATCGCAACTAGATGGACAAGGTTTAGGGCTGTGGAAATTAGAGAGGAGGATTTATTGATGTCAATAAGAGAAGCCCAAAGGGGCTATTTATACTTTCGATGCATTCCAGATTCAATGTATTTGGACTACTTTTCTCATTGTTAACAAGATCTCCTAGATATTAGAAACAAATGATTCTAACAACTTGATTTTATAGATCTCCTATAACCTCCATTCTAATTTCTTTCACACTCCATGCTAGAGCGTAGATGTTGTCGAAGCCAAGCTTGCCTATAAATGTGTGAAAAAGTTTCGGAGGCAATGCTTTTTGAGGATATCAGCAAGTTGATCATTACTTCAAACATGAGAGAAAGAAATCACTTTCTTCACCCATTCTTCACGAACAAAATGACAATCAACTTCAATATGTTTGGTACGTTCGTTTAACACTGGATTCTCAATAATGTATATAACAGTCTGATTGTCACAATGGAGAGGATTGGGAGATGATGTATGAATGCCTAAATCTTGTAGAAGGGTCACAACCATAGGTTCTCGAAAAGGTGTCCAGTAGCTCTGTACTCAGCCTTTGCACTGGATCGAGCAACAACTGATTGTTTCTTGTTCTTCCATGATACCAAATTTCTCTAAGTAATAAAAAATATCCACTAGTGGACCTTCTATCATCTGCAGATCTTGCTCGAATATCCTTGTATGCTCAAAAAATCGCGAGGTTTGAAGAGAAGACCTTGACCTGATGCTTTCTTGAGATACTGTAGAATGCGGATAACTGCTTCCCTATAGGTGATGGTGGGAACATGCATGAATTGGCTGACCTTGCTGATTGCGTATGCAATATTGGTCTCGTTACTGATAAGTATATTAGTTTACCAACAAGTCTCCGATATTACCCTGGATTAGAAAATGGAGGATCAGTTGTGAAAGCAAATAGCCATCATTAGGGTCTCTAGGTGTGTTATTGGGTCAACACCCTAACATTCCCTTCTCAGGAAGAATATCAATGACATATTTGAAAGTATCCTAGAGGGGAGTGATTGCTAATATAATTCGATATTGATGCCAAATTAAAACTATTAACTAATGTCCTAGCAATATATAATAAGATATGAATACAAGGATATAGAATTAAACTAAGGACGATATAAATGTGAGACAAAAGGCGATATGGAAAATATACAAGAGAATAAATGCGCTAATGTCAAACACAAATACAAGAATATGTTTACGGAGTTCGGTCATCCTCGACCTACGTCTCTGCTCCTCACCCTCGAGGAGATACTCCACTATATAACAAAAAGCTACACAATTTGGTTTTTAAAATTCACCGAAAACTTTTACAAATCACACGATTGTCAATACCACAAGATATTCCTCTAAGTGTTAGCCGACCCGTGTCACCTTCCTCAAGTGCTTGAAATTACTATCTCTCCTTAGGTTTTTACAACAAAGCCACTCCTCTTAGAATTGAACTCGTTCTTCTCCCAACCACTCCTTTAAGTATCATTGTGTATTACAACGTGTTCCCTCAATAATAAGGCACAAAAAAATTTATTGTTATCTAATACAAGGATGAGAATTAAGTGTAAGCTTACTCTCAGTGAATCACTCATCATAACTCAAATATACAATATGTGAAAATACTTAGTTCAAATTGGTTGTGTGTGAAATCAATGAGTTAAATGAATTAAACTCGAATTAATCTAGCAAATATAAATATAACAATTGAAATATAAACAAGCTAGATAATTGAGTTTAGAAAAAACTTCTCTAAGAACAAAGAGGATTTTGGATTTGAGGTTGAGGTGCCTCAAAGATGAAATTTCGATTCTCTTTGTGAAACTCTTTTCACAAAACAAACACACTAAAATTTAGAATTAAACTAGTGTAAACACTCTTTAAAACCTTGTGAAAAACTATATTTGAAAACCAAAGCAAGAGGGGTATCTATACCCTAAAAAACCAAGCAGCCAAAACTAGTCGTTATTGCAGAAAATCTCTGATCGGTCGACTGATGACGATGTCGATCAACAGAAGAGCTAGTCGTTACAACAACGGTAACAAAACAGATGCGATCGATCGACTGATATAACAATCGGTTGACTGATGAACACAGATCAGTTGACTGATTGGTATCGGTCGACTGAGCAGAAACTAAACTAAAAATACGGAACAGTTTATCGGTCGACTAATGTAAGCCCTACTGAAAACACTATTCAGTGACTGATGGAGATCAGACGACTGAGCAGAAACTTTTTAGCAATTATAGAGCAGTTCATCTGTCGACTGATGAACAGTGTTGGTCGACCAAAAACGTGCACAACCCAGTTTTGAACAGTAAAGTTAATTTTCAATGTGAGTTTAAAAATAGCAAATAAATTCTAAAAATTATGAAACTTGGGAAAATGTTTATATGCACGAATGTAAACATGTTAGAGAAGAAAATTTTCAAATTGCATTTTCAAATTAT